AAACAAGAAGAGAGAGGGACAAACAGAGAGAGAGAGAGGGACAAACAGAGAGAGAGAGAGGACAAACAGAAGAGAGAGAGACAGAGAGAGAAGAGAGAGGAGAGAGAGAGAGAGAAGGAGAGAGAGAGAGAGAGGAGAGAAGAAGAGAGAAGAGATGAGAGAAACAGAGAGAGAGAGAAACAGAGAAGAGAGAGAAACAGAGAGAGAGAAAAGAGAGAGAGAAACAGAGAGAGAGAAACAGAGAGAGAGAGAGAGAGAGAGAAACAGAGAGAGGAGAACAGAGAGAGAAAAGAAGAGAGCAGGAGAGAGACGAGGATAGAGAGAGAGAGAGAGAGAGAGAGAGAGAGAGAGAGAGAGAGAGAGAGAGAGAGAGAAGAAAAGCAGAAACCTCAACTGCTCTTTCGCAATTGGAGTAGTTTCCTCTACATAGTAGAATTCTATCTCTTTTATAATGACCTATTCATTGCTTGAATATTCACACATTACCTACACCTTCGCCATGGGTCATTATAAGTGGTTTTCCAACTTAATATTTTCTATCTAGAGCATTTATACCGTTCCTTTGGTGAATGTAAAAGATCTGAATGCATGAAAGTGGGAATGGAATCATTTCTTTGTCCGTGTGTGACACGGTTTTAGGTAATGATTTACTTCAGAGGTAGAGTACAGAAAAAGTACGTTGAAAGCCATATTCTGCTCTTAGTCCTAAAAGTATGCGGTTTAATAAGGTATATCTTTCAAGTGACCAGGCCCATGTTATTGTCACCATAGATAAATTCCGCTGGTACAACGATCAATATTTAACTTAGCAACACACAAATAATGCAATAGTGTGACATATTTCGACTGATTCACACGGGTAAGGATTAAAGCTCTGTCAGTTGCCCGTTATCCAAAGGTTGCACGAGTCGCTATTTTCCATTTCCAGTAGGAAATGATAATTATGGAAAATTGAATGTCCTTAACATTCTGTAAATAATTATCGTCGCCGTCAATCTTGCCATAATTATTGCTAATGAATTACTCTTTAGCATACTTTTTTAAGAGGAGGCTGTTCCCGACATCAATTATCAATTGCTATACAGTTTTTACCTTTCGAGCTTTCTCACATCTGTGTCAAATAACAATTTTTCAAGTCGACAGATACCTTTCCAAATATCATTTACCTTATGAAAGATGCCTGTATGAATCTTAACATATACCGCAGTTGCAATATCTACGATATCTTCTGCATTTAACAGCCTATTTGCCAGCGTTCGTGAAAGTTAAACCTAAAAAAAATAAAAGAAAAAATGATTGTTACCGCTTCAGCTACATCTTTTATATCTGTCATATTGCATGTTTTTACATCGCCTATTTTCAACACCACAGCCCACGGTGTTGCTTTTTTGCCTTCCCCCTATGCTTGCAACGAATTCGTGCTCCTACAAACCAGCCCTTTGCCCTCGAGGAGGACGGAGCACTCGTGTGCGGTTGGAGGAAGAAATAAAGGTTACGGTTTTCATGGCGCTCTCAGGCGAAGCGGCTGACCAGCATGAGAACCAGATTTGAAATTTATACCTCGTCTAATAAAAGCGAAAGAGATCACTAAAAGGAAATGGTTTCTTACATGTCATGGAAATTCTGTACGGTATGCCCTCACTAAGTCAGGGCAAATTGAGGATGATATTCTTGTAGAGGACAAAAAGTAATAGTGGTTGGTACAAGAAATAATCTGCAGACGCGAATGGTAACGCCATAAAGGAAAAAGGTCGCGGAAAGCATCGCTCACAGATAATGTCCACTCGGAGCTCCAGTCCACTCGCTCGGCGCGGAAGAACAAGTTCCCGCGCAGCTCGCACACCGTCTTCTGTCCTCCTGCGCACCAACGTCACAACTACCTCACGACCACTCAGGAGGCGGCAGTTTAGCAGAGACTTTTAATTTCTCATAAAATTCAAGTTAATTCCATAGACTATATCATAAAAATGCACACGACTATCGACTAACGTTTCAAATATCCTCAATTGCCAAACTACTCAAATACAGTTGATACTTAACACGCACATTTCTGGCTACACCGGTGGCCTGCCTCATTCTTCTCAGTGACAATGACCGATGTTACGGTGCTTGACCTTTTTATCGAAATTTAATGGAAAAAACTGAAATCAAAGTTTTACAGATTCACGGAATCATCCTAAATGAAAGTGTGAAAAGTGCAGTGCAATTTTCTGAACTGTTTCAGCTCTATCTTGCCGTGCATACCGGGGTGAAGAGAATGTTTTGCAGGGGGTGTTGGGAGGCGGAGCCCCCATCAACCCTCCCCTCGGACAGTGCCCGAAGGTCACGCCCAGTCACCGCAACTTGGATGGTTGAGTAAATTTTGTGTTGGTTACCGTGTGCACTTGCGCTTTCATAAATTCAAATATGACGGCATAATCGGACACTCGTATTTCGGAAAAGTCGTATTTCTTCGATTTTAGAAAATGTATATTTTGGCTCGCATTTCGGAAAGTTGCATTTCATTGCATTCATAATTAACTTTAGTCATGTACTGACACTGAAATCAGGCTGAGCCCACTCTTTACCGCCCCCCCCAAAAAAAAAAAACGTTCCCTCACGTGTCCCCCAAGATTGTTGGGTGGAGTTGGGACTTAGTTCTGGCGAGTGAGTCTGTACCGTAAAGAATTACCCAGGGCGAGTTATTAACTCGTGATGGCGTGTGCCTTTACTCACTTAGACCGCGACAGGGATGTTACTTTTGCGTCATTAATGTCCCTTCTTCTCCATTCCTCTAAACACCCTTCGTTCTGCCGCGCCCTGACTGTCAGCCACACACTGAAAAGTCATCAAAGATTCAAAAGTTCGAACTCAAGTGAGTCAAGTCCTCGCAGTTCGCACCCTCGCTGAGGCTCGCTCTCGGAGAGTAAACTTTGCCATCGCGTTGGAGTCTTTGATAAGGGTTGGACGAACTACAGTATAATGTATTTGATACCAGTCCTCACTCCTGAGGTCTTCTGACCTGGAGCTGGTGCATGTTATTTATGGAGGTGTTTACTTGTTATGATTATGACTGGGGATTGTGCTCTTCTATTTTGAAATGAGACAAAAAACAAGTTCACGGAAAATTCAAAGATGGCGCTGAACTGGGCACTTAGCCCTTCGAAGTGTTTCATATCTTTAATGGGGTCTGCTTCATTAGGTTTCTAAGCAGAGCGATTTATATATCATTCAGTATTATTCATATTTGTAGCTACATTAAAAAGCTTTTTTAAGAAGTGAAACGACTGTGATATCATAACCGTCACACATCACCCGAGAAGATCGAACGCATGCACTCACACACACACACGTACACACACACACACACACACACACACACACACACACACACCACACACACACAACACACACACACACACACACAACACACATACACACACAACACACACATACACACACACACACACATACACACATACACATACACACACATACATACACACACATACACATACACACACATACATACACACACATACATACACACACATACATACACACATACACACACACACACACACACACACACACACACACACACACACACACACAAACACGCGCACACACACAAACACGCACACACACACAAACACGCACACACACAAACACGCACACACACACACACAAACACACACACACACACAAACACACACACACACACTTACACATACACAAACACACACAAACACACACACACACTTACACACACACATACACACACACATACACACGCAGAAAAACACACACACAACCGCGCACGCACGTACGTACACACTTGCACACGCACACACACAATCGATAAATAGGTGAACGAAACGCGCGTGCGGCACCAACTCAGCCACACCAACAAACCTTCACAAATGCAGATTAGTTTCAGGAGTTGCCTTATGTCCAGAATGTTTAGACCAATTATATCACGTAGACTGACGAATGGGGCAAAAGGGTAAGGATTTTGACAGGGCAGCCTGGGGGGAAATCTGTAAAACTTGTAGCTTGTGCTTTACAATTGCGGTTTTAGGAACTTAAAAGTTATGGGTCAGCCGGGGTGGATAATTCCTTCAGTAAGGGGCATCTCCCTTACCCCTGAAGGTCCGGTATTTGCCTTATACCAAATTACCCTCGTATCTCAAAACGCACCGCCAGGTTATGGAATATTCGTGCAAAATAATCTCTTACCAAAAAGCACGCGGCCGTTTTCGTATCGCCAAATCTACCCTAACTAATCTACAGTGCTCTGCAACGTTTGACCTTCGATGTTTGGTATTAAGCATTCTATAATTCATAAACGTGTAATCCTTAAATATAGCGATAAGGTGAGTTCTTCACCTTATCGCTATATTTCTATATCGCTAAATGACATCTGTTATAGACCCTGTTCAATCATGTTGGCAATGCTATGCTTTCGAGTGTATATGTGGTGTATAACCTTTGCTTTATGTTCTTTCATAAACCCCGGAAATTCAGCTGGGATACAAGGGGTTGAAGGAAAATAGAAGTAACAAACGTGACTGATCGTAACGTTTATGGTTGAGGTTGAGGTAAATGCAAATACGCTGCATCTATATTAACATTGTCATAATAAGATTTGAAACAAAGAAAATGTGTTTCCCAGTCTTTATTTTGGCATAATTTCAGCACCATGAAGATACATTGAATATTAGAATACATAAATTAGGTAACAGATTGCATTTTTTTTTTTTTTTACTATGCAGTATTCATTGCATTTATACCAAGTAAATGACTGGAAAATTAATAATGATAAAGGTTATGGTAATGGTCAAAATATTACTTCAAATAGAAATAATTTGTAAAGGATAATGCAATAAGGAAAGAATAAAATGATGTCCCAGAAAGGGCCACCGTTAAAGGCCCTCGTCGTAGCCAAGGGCCCGGTGGAATCGCCCGGCCCCAGCGGCGCTTCTACCTGGTGGCCAGGAACATACCCCAGGCCTGGTCGC